GCGAATATAGGGATTACGAGGAGGTTAAGAAATCAATGGCCATTGATGCTGGGGTCGGGCTGTTAAACGGTATGTTTTCAGCGAGCACAAATTATATGAAAGCCCAACATACAATCGCCAATTCGTCAAAATTTGTGACCGAGATATTCGCCCACTTTTCGGCCTTGCAGGCAGACTTAGTTCCATATTGGGAATTACCGTTAGGTAAATCACCAAGCACATTTATTGATAAATTTCTGCCGGACAAATACGAAGCTAATCCGGCAAAGTTTATAGAATTCATTGAAACCTTTGGTACACACTTTATATCGAGAGGTCACTACGGTGGTGTTTTCAGGTATTTATCATTTAAACTATATACAGTATGTTAAATTTTAACATGTTTATATTTGTGTTTAATAAGTATACCATTGAATAAGTAAATATCCTTCCCAAAGATTACATATTAATATAATAGTACATGTTCATAAACACTTTAAACAAATACTGTTCATTTAATAATGTTTAGACTCAGTTTTAACTTGCAAAATCAACTACGCTACACAATGAGCGATACACAAATAAAAGCAGATGCGAAAGGTACTTTTTTCAACATTCTCAAAGCTAATGGGGCGTATGGTGGTGAAACTGTGAAAATTACCGAGTCATTTAAATCACAATCCGAACTCACTGAGTTTTACTATGGCGGTATAGCCAACCTATTAAAACCTGCTAGCTGGAAAGATTGGTGGGACTCCGTGTCGGGTAATCCGTGGCTATTTAAGGGGCAACTCGAGCCAATTACCAAGTTAATTCCAGATGGTCCAAAAAATGTGGCTATTACAAAAGCGATTGAAATTTACCTAGATAAAGCGTACCTAAATGATATACTAAGATCGGCGTATAGCTTTATTTCGAAAGCAAAAATTGGTGCTGATCAAGTATTGACTTATGTCACGCGAACTCAAGAGTTACTTGCTCAAGTAATACCTGATCATAGATTGGTGGGTGAATTAGGTAAGTCATGTTTATCTAGCTCAATTTAACATTAACCGAAATATCTGTACATGTAGCTTATGTTTAACAAATTTGAAATTAGTATAACTATATTACAAAACTCGATAAGAAATTAAATTCTATTAATTAATAGAAATGGTCGTTGATCATTTTACCTATTACTATATATTTTTAATTTAAATTAGGTTCGCAAGTTAAAGAGTATATCGAAACACCCGAATGGTTTTACCAAGCTAAACTGTGTTACTCGTGGTACCCGGACGGTGATGGTGGGCAATGTAGCGCCAGCGATCGACTACTTTGTGCCATGGTCAATTCAATGACACCGTGGTATCGCGACGATACCGATCAACGTGGGGGCGGGTGTCGTATGAAATGGGGCATAGTTCAACAAGGTCTTACTCCAAATTGGTTCAACCAAGTTCAGATTTG